GCAACTAATTTGTGCAACAATGTTGCAGGTCTTTCAATCACTTAAAAAGCCTGCAACATGTGGCACAACAAAATGTTCCCATAAAAGTTGCCCTGTGCATCATGTTACACAATATCCTTTTCTTTTGCAAAATATATTTTTTATGCGACTAAAGCAAATTGTTACAAGGCTGATGCAACAAGGGCCAATTTTTATTGCTGATTTTTAACACAATATTGTTGTGTTAATAAATCAGCATTAAATTTGGCTTGTGTAACATTACCTTTGTAACAATTTGCTTTAGTTACAAAAAAATCTCTTTTGATTGAGAACAAGAGTGGACATTGACTACCTGGAGCGGAGGGAGATATGGCCTCTACAGCAGGACCAGGATAGGAATCCTGTTCACGAAAACAAAATCATTTCTATTAGTGAAATTATTTAAAAGGACTCATCACAAGATGGAAAAACTACATTAATCAATGCATCAGTTTTCAAGAAAAAAAAAGATAATTTATGGATGGTCTAGAACTTCAGGACTTGTCACTGATGAAATTATGGAATGATAGCAATTGAAGATATGTCTGGGGACAGATACATATAGCTTGGCATAAAACAGAGACATCTGCTATAATAACTCCTGGGCTATAATCATAAATTACTAAATTATACCAATATTTATTTTAACAAATAGCCTTCAACATGAATACAGATATGTGTTCTCTCACAAGAAAGATGTTTTTCGCACCTTTCTTTGACCACCTCCACTTGGTAACAGTGATATGGGAGCTGGTCTTCCTGTGGCATCTTTTAATTTTTCTTGCAAATTGGTACCAGATTTGGTCATGGACTGGGATGACGCAGACGCAGTAAAATGCATAGAGTGCTGTTTTGAAAATGAAGCTGCTTCACTTGGATACGTCATTGAAGGTGCTTTGGATGACAGCACCTGTGAAGCGGTAATCAGTAGTGGCTGAGATGTCACAGAAAAAGGAGGTGTAGTTGGTCGGCATGGTGAGAACCTTGGGGAAAGTTTAGAGTGAGGTGATGATGGAGCACTGTCAGGGCGGCTTTGCAAAGAGTAGCCACTGCCTTCAGTAGATGTTTGTCGCTTTTTGGGTTGAAGTTCAGATCTTTCATGATCTTTTTTAATTCCATCTCTGGAGATACAAAAACAATGATAAATATTGGCAAATCAAGTAACAACAAAATTGAAATTTGAGACACAAACCATTTGTTAGTCAAGAGTCCTTTCATTACATATACATCTTAACATGGTTGCTAACAGCATAAAATACCTTTCAATCTTGATATCTTTTCCACTGATTGAACTAAAGTCGTTAAAATCGCCCAGCCCAACTTCCTATAAGGAACAGAGTCAAAGTTAGAGTACATTGTACTTAAATCAAAGTATGAAGAAATAAACAACACTAAAGATACAGATCCTAGACATACTATGTACTTATTGACTGAGTGGGAGGGCCGGACGGGAAAATATTTGGCTCGAGTCCTGACCGAGAGACAAATATTTTCCCGTCCCGCCCGACCTTACTCAGTCAATAAGCATTTTATCATATGACCACTTAATGGTTGAACCTAAATAGGACGCGATTACATAACATCAGACGGCCGTGCGTGGAAAAACTACAGAAAAGATTCTACCACGAAAACTCATTTCGTTTATTTCTTCGCGTCGAACAAGAAACTCACAATTCATCGAAAAACACGACTCATTTTCTCATATTTGTTTTTCAATGTAAGTCTACAATTACAATT